TATATATATACGGGGTCTTGTAAAACTTAAAACAATGTATAAATGTTAACAATGTACTTTTTATGTATTTAGAGGTTAAAATTGAGTTTTAGTCATAAATCTTTTTTTCCTACATAAACGCGTCCTGCAGCCATGGAGATGTCACTGAAAATTGCCACACTGTCGCAGTGGAAGACTTTCTTCTGCCACTCCTGAAAATAAACAAAACAACCAGTTAGTATCGGTAGAGCAAGGGAACCAAGGTCATAGGGCACATGGCTTTTGGACTATGGAGCAATGGACAGTAAAGGGATTGCTATCTTAATACATGTATCCTTTTTGTTGCCAGGCAAACTCGGGGTGTTGGATACTGGTTTCCTAATTTGATGCTGTCTTGCCACAAAAACTTCTTTAAGGGATTAGATATTACACAGGTGTTCACAACTTGAGAAATCTTCCAAGAGACCCTTATCTAAATCGGCGAAAAGAATTTCCTCCAGCGGCGTGTTATGTGGTAACCTATTGGGTCGTGTGGGTAGCGGTAGCTTGCAAGGTCAGAGAAATCCATGACATTGCCTGGCACGAGCTTTCTGACAGAATTCTAGAATCATACTGACAATAGGTCCTGAGAGCTAGAGATTGTGTGGTTAACTTACTCACAGGGATCGGGACGAAAATGTAAGATGAACAAGTTGTCAGCAGCAGGGTCTACAACATGAATATTCATTCAACAGTCTGTAGCCGTAGACACAAAAGGGAACATCTTTGTCGTTGACAGGAGTGGCTCTCGTATTCTAAAGTATGGTGAGAACAGAGACCAGCTGTTCAGTTTTGGTAGTCCAGGTAATGGAGCAGGGCATCTTTATTACCCCTCAGGAATCTGTGTGGACAGTTGGGGGCGTGTGATTGTGGCTGATACTAAGAACAGCCGGGTGGAGATGTTCACGGCTAAGGGAGAGCACATCCTCACCTTAGCTTATATGCAGTCCCCTGCACAAGTTGCTACAGGTGGGGAGTGGCAACGATCTTTCCCAAATATTAGGGACATTGGGGGCCCGCAAGCCCTTTTCCGTAGAGCGTAACTGGTGTTGGGTTACGTTATGTTGCAATTTGACAAGAGTCTAAATCCCTCCTGCTATAAAATTGCAACATAACGTAACCCAACACCAGTTATCATGATAACAGCCACAACATTGGTTCAGGTCATTGAGGTCACTGTTTGGAGAAGAAGAATGTAGCAAAAACAATATGTTTTCCTTCGGTGAACATAGTAATGAATATTAAGACAATTACATCAAAGAAAAGTAATCTTCCGAATCTTCAGAATCGTGAGGCATGTTTGATGTAACGTTCCCTTCTTGGTGGTGGTTTTGACACTTTTTCTTCCAAATCTTCAGAGTCATCATGCATATTTGATATATGGATGACATCCGCGCGGGCAAGAATTTTTGTCGGTTTGCAAAGCCAAAATCTATTCCAAAGGACAAGAGAAAAATGTGAAGGAATGAAATTAAAGAATGTATTATTCACCATACAGATAGATTATTACTCTGTGTGTTTAGTCATTTGTTTAACCTTCCTGGCCACCTTGCTGCTAGTAATCCAATGTCAATATTGGGCTCAGCAGTACTTAAGATGATGATGATGATGACCTAGATTTCACATATAATGAATGCAACTTTTTCCCAACGCTCGTATCAGTTTCGGATTCCCAGGGGATGTCATCCATATAATTTTGTACTATATTGTATCTTACCTTCTTTGCATTGCATTGTATTTGGTATGTTTTTATATAAATATTGTAAATATGTTTATCTGTATGTCTATGGTGGAGGCAACGTGAAGAAGTGATCATCACCTGTTTTGTCTCGCCCTCTATCTTGTTATGGTGAAGTTTGATAAAGAAATAAAGAAATAATCAAACCAACAGGGCCTAATATTTTCCATACTTCGCCGCCATTTTTAAAAATATTCCAGTGAGAACATCAGTGTCTAGCAGAAACGCACGTGATTTTGCACGAAATCAAGGTTTGCTGTCGCCCAGAACAAGATCACATACCTGCACTGAAAATGGCATATTCATAGGTTTTTAAGAAATACAATCTTAGTAACACATTTCGAGATTTACAATGTTTCTCTATGTCCGGACATTTTAATACATGTAAAATACTGTTAGCATACAGGTAGCAAGTACAGTACCACCATTGTAAACTTTAACGTAAATTACGATTTGTGTAAAAGTACACACGCCGAAATTATGGTCGTAAGCACGGCGTAATTACGTTCGCAGTGTGTGTGGGGGGGGGGGGCAGCCAGAAATATTCAGAATGCTACAACCCGATTTATGGAACAAATGCAGCCAACGCATGCCAAACATACGTAAATCGCAAGCCAATCTTACGTAAGTAATGTTAGTTACTGTGACAGCAAAATAATCCGCTGAAGAGGTTCGTCAGTCACGTAGAATTAACGGTAGATTATTCTTCAATCAGGGACTGTTTTTGAAAGGTAGAAACACTCCGCAAGGAGGCGGGGAAGGCCAGAAGATCCGAACAAGTCTCGACATAGTCTCGAGTTCTTCAAGATGTACAGTCGACATCGAAAATTGGTACGTATTTCTACCTTTCAAAAACAGTCACTTATTGAAGAATATTCTACTGTAAAATAATGCACGGAATCTTTTTCAGTTGAAAATATAACTCAATCCCGACCAAATGAAAAGAAATCAACCTCTATTTGAACAAAAATAATGCTTTTTGAACGTAGAAACTTGAATCTAACTAATAAATTCACTACCTATACTGTGTGCACCAAGGCCTTAAGTTGACCTTCTGGCTAGTAATTCTAGAGTGTCTACTAACTATAATTGTTTTTCAATCTATTCCAGAAACCAGTAGTACGTCATGCCGCTGTCTTATCTTTACTGGTCTTCTTAAGTGACAAGACAATCAGAATGAATTTTGACTGTAAAAGTTCCTTCAAGTAGCCGCAGCTGAACAAATAATTGTAGTAGGGCGGAGTCTTGGAAACTGTGTGTGTACGGCAACTATTACTGACAAAGTTTTGCAGTCACTATTCTAGATCTGCAGTACAACAGTTTCTTTCTAGTTGGTGCTAGGAGTGTGTCATTAATGAGTTTTGCTTCCACATTTTGAAACTACCATTTTAACTATAGTAAAAGATCATTAAAAAATTCAGTTTAGTAGATGACACCCATTTCCCAACTGTAGTGTCCCTAAAGTATCTTACAGAGGTCAATTCTTGAACTTGAGAAATCAATAATTTTTTTTTAAAACTAAAGGAGGAATTTTGCTTTTTCTGCATGCAGGAAGTCGGAGTATTTCCTCAGAGCTGCTGGGTAGGTTGATCTTGAGATCTTGCCACTGTCACTGACGAAAGATAGTGAATATTACAATGTACGTGAAACGTCTGATCTATTCCAAAGTCATAAGTGAGGAACCATTTTTTGGGTACCTTATTATCTGGATGTCTAATAACCTTCATTGACGAGCTGGGTAGGTTTCCAGTAGAAACGGTTAGAGGCATTCAATGTTATTTCAGGGCAGCAAAACTGGATTTTGAAGGTCACTTTTCTGTTTTTTTTTTTGTGTCGTGTGGGTGTACTCACTTCCTCCCTGCCTGTGGGCAGACTATTTGTACCACAGCTGCCAAGTTGACCCCAAGGTCAATCTATAGTTAGAAAATCTTTTCTCCCCCCTCCCTGGCACTCTGTTGCATTCAATACCTAATAAACATGTACAAGCAAAAACACTGATTAACACACGCAATACAACACCTCCACACCTAAGAGAATGTGGTGCATATACTTTATTGTGCAACACTTGATACATTAGGTTGCCATGTGTTAGCTACAAATATTTAACAATTGTAATACATGACTTGACGTTTATTTTACTTCAGCACAACATACAAGAAAGCATCAAAGTGTGACCAAAACATTCAAAGAAAACAGCTTTTGTTTAACAGTAATGTGGGAGCAAAGTCGTAATACTATACATGTATACTACTACTTTCTAGACCTCAAGGGCTCAAAAAATGTACTCAATGTATGGCATCGATCCAATAAAGTTCTAACGACTGCTGGCCCTAGCCTGGGTTACATCATCTGTAGTTACTACTAGGTCCAGTAATGGTGCACACTTATTAGACTTACTTGTGGAACACTAAAATCTTAATACAAGATACAAGAAATAGTGAATTTTGGCAACAAAACAAATATTTTCTAACAATCATTAATGGTTTACATTAGTGTATTCT